GAACAGAGAATTCATTTACCCAGTAATTTTACAATGGTGATAACAAATTAAAATTGTGGGCAGGCAGCGGAGAACGAAGAAGATACACAGTCCACTGCAAGGATCAGCCAAATTAAGGGGAACTTTTTACATTGTCAAATTTTGAGTAATTAGTACTTCCATTAGAGGCACAGTTCCAGTTTTAAGCAATTCTAAGTAATTAATGTTCCTTTATTTTGCCTAGAAGTCCTGACTTCAGCATTCTCTTAGGATACGAATTCTTCTAGCCAGAGCTACACAATGCAGATTAACTCAATTAGAAGACAATTAGAGTAGGCAGATGAAGATGTAATTTGTCAGTCTGTACACACTGTTACTTCTAGCCTTGGATGCAACTTTTATTAACACAGTAGACTGATTTAAATGGAGGCAGAGACACAATTTTGTCCCACCTGTACCCATATGATTGCTCAAGCTGCAAGCGATGTTGAGATTTGAAAATTTTACGTGACCAAATGACAAAGCGAATGGAGTGCCAGATTATATCTTCCTGTACAGCTTTGAGCAGCTACAGGAATTCAGTAACCCATTATACACCTAATAATTTAAAGTACATCATTTAAAATACATGATGGAGGAAATCTTGCTATACTTATTCATCATGCAATGTAAATCCCTAGATTAAAAGGCTAAGCTGAGCAGGAAGCAGAAGCTGGACTGGTGGGTAGCATATGGAAAAGACAGAATTCGATTGCCAGAGATGCTATTGAATTTGCACACTGTGTTGGATAAGCTGTCTGGGTCCTCACAATCTTGTCTTTAAAATGGGCCTAGCAATACATACCTCCCAAAAATGTGTTTGGTTTTGCATTTCATGGGTATTTTGAAGATGACTTGTTTGCAACCAGTTCAAGATTCTTTAAGAAAAGGGGCAAAGTAAAAAAGCAAAATGCAATTACATGTCCTTTCCTATGTGCACTGTATAAGACAACATTTAAAATATTCCATAATGAGCTTTGAAATCTAAGACACACAGTAACAATACAAAGCAGAAGTTTTACAAGCCTTTTACCCAGACACCGCTGTTGAACAGTACCACACGCCAAGAGATGGTGGCAGAAAACATCACATTTTGCTTTCTCTACCAAACACAACCATAGCAACAATTACCTTAGTTTTTAGCTTCTGAATTTTCCATAACTGTAAGAAGCAGAGGCCAAAGACCATGTCCTTCACCCAGGAATCGGTGAAGCACTGAAGGGAAAGTTAGAGCTGCAGCTGAGGAAGAGCAGAGCAGGACCTCACTTGCAGAGGTCTATTGCTGTACTGGTGAGAGGCTCTAGCTGTTCTTTTCCAAATGCTATTGTTCACATGGACTCCAGATTGGCAGGTCTTATGTGCTTTTAATATTAATTGATAAAAAAAGAAATACAACATTCTGGATCTATAAAGCCTGTCTTCGCATGGATTTGCCAACATTTGCATATGGCCAGAACCAAAGTCCAAGAAAGGCAAACCTTGCCAAATCTGTCAAAATCAAAAGTTCACATCTTTTTGCCCAGATCTTACCTTTACAATCCTTTTTACAAATCTCTTCCAAATATATGGTTGCAATGTGCTTGTGCTTCTAAGTTACAAGGTATATTAAGTGCACAGTGAGGACCTACATTTCTGTGTGACAGAGAAATCCAAAGTGGTGATTCTCAAATATCTAAGGGAGAACACAAAGTCTTCTCTGACACCTAAAATGCAATCATAAAGTCACAAAAAGACACCGAAAACATCATCCCTGAGAAATTGTTATTTTTCCTGATGGAAAGAAAAAAGTATCAGCTCTGCTTGGAGTGACAGTAGTTTTTCTCAGCTGCATATTCTCAGAATAGAAGATCCAAAGATCTTTCACTGCTTCACTTCATGTATCACGTCTCTTTATTACAGACCCTTTTCACCAACTTTAGCACTGGAAGCTCAGTTTTATATAGCTTTGGGCCTCAGAAAAACCTTGACACTTCACGCATCCTCTACAGCCCCCGTCCAACTGTCGTCCCATGGTGCAGGAACAGCACCTGAGCTGCTGCTGACTCAATGGAGAGGCTGGCCACTGCTGCTGAATTCTGCTCACCGTTGTGTTAAACTCCGTTAGAGTTACTGTGTTAGAGCGGGGCATGCTGGTCTCTAGTCTTTTTTTGGCCAAAAACATCATCTTCAAGAAGTCAGAAAGCATAAGTTATTTGTTACTAGTAATACATTTCATACTTTTAAAGATTTGTAGTAATCCATGACTGTGGAGGCTGTCAAATCCACTCAAATGCTTCTTATTGAAAAATTAGGCCTGCATATCCCTAGATCCTCCCCTCCTTCGCCCATCCAATTAAAGCCAAAATTCCCAAAGACAGCCACTCTTCTAAACCACTACATATTTCATATAGTTGTTATTAATAAAATACGAACAATATTTTCAGAAACATTAAAGAATCAGGTCAAGAACGCTGTCTGAATACAAGTGTTATTTAATAAGCCAATCATCCAACTTTTGAGTAATTAATGTCCTTGGCTTTTACTTGAAAGCCCCATTTTCAGCACATTCATAGGAGACGAATGTCCCACGTCAAAGCGAATGAACACAAATTAACTCTCTTGGACACCAATTACAAGAGAAAGATGAAAATGCAATATTGGCAGGCTAGATACAAAATGTTGCAGCATGGCACTTCCCCTCGTAGGGTGAGTTTAGGTAGAATCAGATGACTTCATTACATATAGTCAAAGGATTTGATCTGTTCCCATCTGTGCATTATCGGAATATCTAAACAATTGCCATAATGCATTTGAAAACTTTAAAATATAAAAGGAAAACTAACAGAGCTGATGGTATCTCCAGATCACCGTGTGAAGTACTAATAAGCAACTGTATTATACAGCTCATGTTCAACAGACTGAAAATGATCTTTCCCAAATCCAAATGACATACTTCTAAAGCTGAAAGTGATAGATTACAGCTGGCTGAGCAAGCACTGTACTGTATGCTCATTTTAAAAGCTGACATTGTAAAAGACCCTCCAGGCTTTTTGTTGGTTCCTTTGCTCTTCTTATTAAGAACTGCAAAGCTCATCTTATTTAACAGTAATTACACGGGGAGGTGGAGAAAGACTAACAAGAAAGAGAAGTTTGTTTTTCTAAAGATATGCAGTCAGATTACTTTTAATAGCATGACTATGGATCAAATACGTTATTTTTAGTTCATCATCTCAAAATATGATAAACATTTGCAATTGGAAAAATTATGAATACAAAATTTGAAAATTTAGTATTAGGATTCTTATTAGAAAATATGTCTTTACAACTAATTTATAGTCTCTGTACATGACATCCTATCCTCCTCTCCACCAGACAACCATTAAGACCCAAAAATACTCTCAGGACAGCAGTTGCAGAACTTGTCGTATGCGCTCGCACTTCTCCAACAGGTTTGGGTCTTCTGCATCAGAACCATCAAATTCCTTCATAAAAGCTTCAGCTTTCTGCACAGTTATGTCTCGTGCACCACCTTGAAGCCCTTGCAGATAATCCAGTAAAATGTTGAAATACTTGTCTGGAACCTTTAAAGAAAAAAAAACAAGAAAGAAAAAAAACCCCCTGCTTTATTTTCTTCTCTCTCAATACTCATTCACAATCATGTAAAAACATCACCTGAAAGATAATTAGGAGAGGACTGTCCTTGACTACTCAGCAACAACTCAAAACATCAGCACCTTATCAACATTTTCTCATCCCAAATCCAAAACATAGCCTCACGCTAGCTTCTGTGAAGAAAATTAACTCCACCCTGGCTGAAACCAGTCCAAACTGCATGGGCTTTTGCGTTTGCCAATGCCCACCTCAGAGTGGAAGTGTTTCTTGCCAAGGTTTGAGCTGCCGGGAGGGATGGACCGTGGTGAGAGGACTGTCATGTGCTCAGATGGGCAAAGCATCTGAGAGGAAATTCTAAGCAGATGTGGAAATGCTGATCAGCAAATGCAAACACTCCCTGACAGCTCGAGGCTGTAAGGGCTGTTAGAAAAAAAAAAACCCACTAGCCAAATCATACTTTTGGAAACATGTATGCAAACCTTACTCAATTCAGTGAGTATTGCATGCACATGTGTCAGGGAAGAATTTTGCTTGAATTACCCTCGCCCCTACCCAAAATTATGTGTTTGCCAAGATGAGATACCGCCTACCATCAAGCACTTTGACAGAATACTTCTACAATGGAATGGAATAGAATTTAATTTGAAAAACAAATTTAATTCAGACACATGGAAATACTTTTTAAATCACGCTGACTAAAACTGATAGGCTGCACTAACATGTCTAACATGAAAAGCAGTTTAGACATCTACAGTTGCATTACCCCCATTTCACTCCCTTTCTAATTAACTAGTCATAGGTTAAATTTTAGCTTATCTGGTACAACATACAATTTAAATAATCATTGCATTAAATAATCTTGGCAATAACCTAGCAAAGACTTTTGAATGATTTATTCAGTATTTCAAACCAATGTATTTTCAAAAGCGTTAGGTGAACAGATCTACGCTGAAGCATATCTCAACTTCCTGTTGTATATCTGCGGAACAGGTTTCAGCGACTAAGAGAATATTTTCGCTGTGAATCAGGAGATGTTAAAATGAAGTAATCCTGCAAATATTTTTCTCCATGTTTAACTTTACACATATAACTTTAAAAGGCATACTCGATATGAGTCAAGTTAAACACATACGTAAGTATTTAAAGGACTGGAGACTAATTATTCGAGGGCTGTTTCAATTCTGCAAAGTATCAACATTTCAGAGAAGACAGCGCTTCAACAGATACTTAATTTACAACTGATTTCTCCATCGACATTTGGCAGCGTAACTTTGATCACTAAAACTTCTATCACTCCAAAAGAAGAGGAAGAATACTCCAACACTGCCTTCATCAATCAGGGATATTACAAAGTAATAAATCAAAACTAAAGTCTGCATTCAGCCTCATAACTTTTACGCTATGGAAAACCTTATAATTCTTCACACACACACTCTTGCGTTAAAGAAACAATACAGATACCAAAAAAATATTAATTTTACAGTGACTAACACTGAAATGGATGATATATGGAGTGTTGCTATAACATACTAATCAAAGACATTTAAACATAATGAAAAATGTCTGTATTTTTTAAACCTTTTTCCTCACAGTAAACCGGTACTAGTAACAGCCGAAAACATTTGGACACAGACAATTTCAGGATGACAGTGCTCCTTTAATGCAGATGCTCAGTACTGGGATTTTAAAGCTCAGCAACATTTCTGTGTTCCAAAACTTAGCCAAATTGCCTATGTAATTTACACCTCTTGTTCTTAGACTTCGCGGTATAGTCATACCTCACTCTGTGGGATTACAGTTATTATTATATAATTTAAGCAAAGTGCTTGAAGGGGCAATTAAAAGCCTACTCTAAACTTAGAAGTGCTAAGTGTGCAGACAGACATGTGACTGCCTGAAGCCTAGAAAACATTTAGCATTTGGCCCTAAGGATAAATGCTCACGTTCAAAAAGTCTCATATTTTTCTTTAACACAGCTATTAGGTTTATTTCAGCAAAGGCTTACAATACAGTACCAGGCAGGCAACGTAGGATCGTATCTCCTCCTAGCTTACACATACAATAGAGACATAGCAAGGAAAGTGCCAGCAAAAAGTTAATGAAATCCAAATTTTAATTCTTCAAATACAGTAGTACAAGAGCTGAAATTTCAGGGAGCGAGGTTTTACAAGAAGGAACACAATCCTTCTTCTAAGATCAGCTTTTGGGCTGGCTTGAAATTGGATATCAAGATCTCCCACCACAGCTCTGGCAAGTGGACATGATGCTTATGGAATTTTATTATTATTCATTTGTTAAACTGTTGACCTTTTTCTTGTTTCTCTTCCTCACACACACTAACCCTGTCTCTGTTCTAACTAGCTAATATGCACCGGAGCTGACTAATACGGAAACATCCCAAACTGAAATCCGTACCGTCATCGGGAAAGGTGGGGAAACGCTACAAAATAGTAGCAGGAAAAGAACAGTTATCACTTTTAAATTACACTATGTAACTCAAGAGTTTTCAGACTTTTTAGACTTGCAGATGCCCACACGTTTTGCAAAGCAAATATAGGCATCTGCACAGAGAACTTCAGCTTACTGCTGCCAAGCTTGCTTTTCTCAGTTACCTTCTGAGGAAGCTTCAGAAACCCCTCCAGGGCCCTGCAGTCCTGAAGCTGAAGATGGCTGATAGAGTTACTTCCTCAAAATGCTGTGCCAGATGACAAAGATCAACAAATCATCTAGTGTTTATTTTATACTGGATCCTGAAGCAGTATATACACTGTAGGTATACAGGCTTGGCTTGCAAGCTGTCAGCCAACCACCAGATGGATTTTAGAGGGACTTAAAAAAAACCCCTCATGTTGCAAAGTACTTTAAAACCTCAACATATTTCTTACAGAAAGAAACCTATCGGTACAGGAAACTCAATTCACTCCTTTGCGTGGCTTTTCAGTAGGCATCTAAGTGACACCATGAGATCAAAGATGTGGCTTAGGAAGGAAGGAAACTCATGTCTCCTTTTGTATTTTAGTCAACAGATTTTATTCTGTAATGGACAAGAAGCTGAATTTGTGTCTAAAAAAAAAATATTCGAAAGAACCTGGTCTGCCCTCCCTACAGTCTTGATGAAGGAAGAGACTTCATCATATGCTTAATTATAAGCACTTGAGCAGTTCTACTAACTTTACTGAATCTGGATGCAGATGTTACTCATTATCTAAAGCTCATATTCAATGCATCTCTGATTATTAAACTACAAAATATATGAATTTAAATAAATCACAGCACTTTCATCAGATTTAAAAAAAAAAGGAAGTTTCATCTCAATGTTGAGAAATAAGGAGTCAAGCTGTGTTTTGATATATAAAACAAATGCTACTTATAGTTAATTATTTCCCAGTATATTTCAACACAAAACCCAAAGTAAACACGTAAAACAGTAAAAACATCATTCTGCCTGAAAAACAATTTCTAGGTAGCTTTAAAAAGCCTACATTGATTTTGAAAGGTTGATAAAGGAGAAACGTAAAAATAGAAGACAGTACAAACAACCTAGATACCTACAATCAAATTTGTAGTCTGCAACTCATCTTTTTAAAGTATTACACTGGGTGAAGATTTTTGCCTTCATGAAATTCTGCTTTTAATTATCTGTTTCTCCAAAAGTATTTTTAATCATAAAGGTTAACACCCTATGTCAGGTGACTGGCTTAAGAGCTGCTGAGTAATTTGGGTCAGGAAGATTGGTATGCTTAAATGTTTAAGTGCACACAAAAAATGAGCAAAAACTAACTGAATGTCAGCTAAATGAATCAATAAGTAAGGCACTGTGCAAATGGCTAGATGTTTGTTCTATTACACAAGAAAATGAATGACCTGAAACCCCCATTCAACACCACGATGGTCAAATGCTTATTGGAAATTCAATCTATGGTGTGTTTTTTTTAAATTATGAAATGAATGGATGTCAGTAATGATGCAAGCCTAGCTTCTGGTTATACTTTATGCTTTTTACAATCAACATCAGGTTTCATTTCTATTTTAATGAGAAAGCTATTTTAACATCTCAGCAATATGGCTGTACATCTTATATGGAGCCAGAGATATCTGAAGCAATATGAGAATTGTGGTTTACAGTATTGGGTTCCACATTCAGAAATTCAAATTAAGGGTATGACTCAAATTCTCGGTAAGCTCCAGATTTATATAAAATATGAAGCTGCTCTACTTATGCTTGACATATTCAAGTATAAAAATCTAGCATACACAGGAGAATGATCACCAACAAAATAAAAAGATTAATTACAAGCAATTAAAATTATTCAGCATTTTGGTTAAAAACAAAGTAATTAATTGATAAATTATTAGGAAAGTGCATGGCTAGTACTAGCCACTTTTGGTTAAAAAAAGAATAGCTAAAACTAATGTATAAAACTTTATATCGTATTTATTCTGAGAAAAAGCCATGTTAATACAAACCTTCTCTTTATCATACATGTGCAAGAGAAGCCAGGTTTGTCTTGTCTTTTGAAACTTCCATTCTTCTGGGTTTTCAGACCAGCTGTAGTAAATTAAAAAAAAAAAATGCTTGAATGAAATACTATGTGATCAAAACATTCATTATTCATAAAATATTTCCTACGACTGCAGGTGACTATATGCACGACATGAGTTTCATGACATTGTGTGAAACAGATACTAGCACACGTTTTGTACGAGTGACAAAAAAGAACATAAGGGATGGCTACCTGGCTTCCATGCAAAAAGTGGAAAGATTATAGGAAGACATTACATCCAAGAATATTATAAACTTTCATCAGAAAGCACTGATTCCTTGAAGTTAAAAATCAAGTCCCACTCCTCAGCTTTGACCAGTTCTTTATGAGAGGTCATTGCCCTCATCTGACCCACGACAACTGAGCACCCTAAATCCTTACCCCAGCTGCGGGGTTACCTGAGTATTTGGGGAGGTGGAGTGGACAAGGAACCAAGTTTGGGTTTCAGAAAGTTGGTATTTCACAATAAACTGAAATTCGTATGACATCAAGCAGCCTCTAAAGGACTGGAAGGATAGACTTGCGCTACAACCGTCACCTCAGGGATGGCTGAAGCCCACCACAGATGACTCTTCCAGAGCAGAGAAAATTCATTTTTCAGAGGCGTATGTTTTAAGGCTTGGATTTGTCTAAAGGTGTGACTTAAATATTGATGTTTACAAGATAGAAAAGTGCTTTTTACGTCTCTCCCCAGGAATTCTGATTCCAGTATTTACCTCAAAACTTCAGGCTGCCTCAATACAGTTAAATAGTGTTAATACTGTTAAAAGTGAGCAGGTAAAAGAAATTATTAACATCTGCAAATGTTCTTGGACTGTTTAGCAAACACATTTTAAATACGCAAAATTTTAGATGGGTTAAAATGGCACATTTACATACATGTTGAATACAATTTTAAAGCTGGTATATTCTGTATTAGATGAAGAGTCATTTATTTCAATAAACAAATGAGCAAACTAACAAATCTCACTATAAAATGAAGACTGCTTTTTAAAAATATGTGCTTGAAAATTAGCATCTTAACATGTACAAAGTTTTCCAGTACACTGAAATATCATTTAAAGATCCAGAAGAAAATATATGAGAAAATTTTACACTTACTTGATTTTTCTCTAAAGAAAAACAAGTCTCCAGAGGGTAGCATGCAAATGTCTTTAATGTTCCAGCTTGCTTTATACAGCAACAGAGAGCACAGAAATCAATTGAAAAGCCAGCTGGGTATGAGAATTAGTATTGTTTAAACACTGTCAAGTCTAATAAAGCAAAAGAGTCCTCATATTCGGTGAATGCTGCACCAGCAAAGGCATTGTTCAGTCAATTCAGTGAAAGAGAAAAAAACAAGACCACAAATTTATACAGAAGGGTTTCATGGAAGTCTCTGCAGAAAACCCAAAAGAAAAAAATTACCGACTTTCAAATTCAGGATAAAAAAAAGCAGCAACAACTCATTAGGGTTATCACCACCTAAACTCAATAAAAATGTCTGTAACCAATATAAAAGGTAAAAATCAGACAAATAACTGTAGAACAGGAAGGATAGACAAAACATTAATAACCCCAACATGTCGTATTTTACATGCTCAGATTAAATCCACAAATAAACCGATTTAGAGGCCTCTTTTGAGACACTGTCAATAAATAGGCAAAAGTTTGCAAAACAGATCTATTGCATAAAAGCAGGAGCCCAAAAACCGACTGCCAAAAGTTGTAGACTCAAATAAAAATACATTATTATGGGGAAACCATACTTCTGCCATCACCACCAACCTAGAAACCAAAGTACTTGCAAAATAAAGATCGTTCAACCCTCAGTGTCACTTGCCTTCGCAGCAAGGTGCCCAACTGGACAACGACGACTGTCAAAATTACACCACGTGTAACGCGAGGAGCCAACAGAGAATGAAGTAAAAAGGGCTTTTCTTGTGGGTGCCCTTTGTGGGGCAAGCTACTTGCTCATTTCTACCCAACTTCTCTGTTTGCCAGGCTCCTAAGTGAGAAACTAAACTTCTGCAGGAAGTGGCTTAACTTCTAGAAGTCCTTCCAAGGCTGGGGGGGGGGGGGGAGACAACAATGATGGTGCTTGCTGTTAAAAGAAACCCATTCTTTTATGAGATCCATCCTTCTGAACAATTACATGGAAGATGTTACAAGAAATGCTGTCTATTTGCCCAGCACAAAAAAGAAGGTAAGTTTAAAATTCTTTTTTATGTTAAATAAGCCTGGAAACAGTTTACATTATAATCTTTGCAAGGTGACAAGAACAAGCTGAATGACAGATCTGTGACCGCATCCTGTGAAAACAGTCCCTTTTCTAATGAAAATCTTTAACACATGTTTTTATTTCTTTAAACTCTAGTGTGTATTTATACATTTGCAATTATATTCATTGGTTAGACACACCACATAGCATTCTGAATATTTTATTCTCTGCTAATTTTATGTTTCTATCACTTATGCTATTACCTGAGGACTGTTAGGCATAATTTGAAAAATACAGCCTGATTTTACTGATCTCCTATAAAGCTATAGGATGTTAAAATATCTTTATTACCCAGTTTATAAACAACTGAGACCAACAAAATGAGTGCACTATAAGGTTAATTGCTCTTATTAGCCTATTACCAAAACCATATGCTCTCTTCTACATGTTAAGGCAGGCCATTACACTCCTGCATCTGTGATCCCACATTGACTTTCACGCTAGGGAATCCTCTTGTGGAAGCAAACAATTTCAGCTAGCCTTCCTGCAAGGTTTCGCACTATATACACCATAGTAACTCATATAAACAACAAATACTGTAATGTAATGAACAGCAGAAAGTACGTTTGTGCCCATTATAGCACCAGAGCCTCACAAACTGTTTCTTTTGGTTTGTGCTCTGTCCTGTTAGAATCAAATGCTAAATGAGTATGGTAAAAAAAAGTAGTATTTTCCTTAATAGACTATGGGTGTACTCATATTTTCAGAAAATGCTCACAAGTTTTTAACTGGTACTCTATCCATGGTTGCATCAATTCCTGTTACTCTCCCTTCAGGAAAATGGTCCTTCTCTTGACCTTAATTCCTATCAAACTGTGGGCAAAACACTCATGATAATGGATGCACTGTCTTTAAGACAGATAACGTGGCAGCTGCTCCCTGTAATTGGACCCCCCAACAGTTATTAAAATAAAAGTTTTCTACTGATTCCTATGTCTATGACAGCTTTTTCCCTACTCCTGTGACAGCTTTAAAACCTACGGAAAGTATCACTCCGTGACAAAGTGACAGGGATATCTCTTTTTATCAGAATGACATAATTAGTACATTTTTAGAAATGCTCAACTTTTAAACTACAAAAGTTAAAGCTTTGTAACCCAAGAGAGGTCTCATTTTGCTGTTTATATGCCGATAAGCTTCCTTGACATACTACAGCAGTAGAAAAGGCTTTTCCTTTGAGTGATTAAACATACAGAGTAAGACAACTACATTACAGTTTAAAAAAAATTTTTATAGACAATCACAACCTCTTTCACAGTTTGAGTTGATTTGGTAGCCTTTAGAAGTATCTATGTCCAGATCTAATATAAACTATGGAACTGGATGAAAAATATACATGTGTAAAACATGTATTTTTCCAGTATGCCTTGGGCTAATTTTCAATATATTGTACAAACACTAATTGCCTTCTTTACAGTTAATGTTTGAATCTTTCTTATGGGCTGTAACTCATTGAAAAAACACATTGGTTGACTTTAGTTAAAGAGAACTTTTATGTTTGTGCAAATGATTTTCTTAAATGGCCTTGAAATTGAAGATACAGAGGAAATGAATCAAATTAATCATACGGCTTAGGGAATTTTACATTTGGGCTTTTGGTTTTTAGCATGTGAGTCTCATGTAGAAAAGCTACCCAAGATTCTCATTGGTCTATCTCATAAATTACTTTTAGTCTCTACGTTAAAGTAACCTCACACAAATCTATTCCCAAAACATGGGAATATGGGCAGCATAAATAGGCAAACAGAAAACAACTGATTGCGTGCAGGGCAGAGCGCTCTCTGGGATGTCCTAGTAGAAGAAGAAGGGGAAGGGAAAGTAGTCAAATCGGTTTCAGAAATGCAGTAAGAGCAAAACATTATTGTTACGAATTGGATTCAGGAAGACAACACAATGCATCTGCTTAGGCTGCATCTGGCCTTACTGGCCAAGACAAAACACTACAAAGCTGTTACAACTATTAAATAATTTCCTATGTGTAAAAAGCATGTGCTGGAACCAACCATTTTACTCATTCAACTAAAAAATTATTGGGTAGGAGACAAGTCTCAAGAAACCAGACAGACAGACAGACATGTGACTGCCGATAACCCTCCAGAAGACACGACAGCACTGCTACATGCCAAATGCAAAGACTCCTAGACTCACCTACACCTACTGCTCTGATTTTGTGCCACTGACGGTCCAGCCCATCGCAGATACCACCTTCCATCCTGGGTATCTATCCAAGGTAAAGCAGACTGCCACCAAATTTAGATTTCTCCAGCATACAGCCCAGGCTTAGCGTCAGGGAATTAATTTGAAAGGTTTCTCCAGCCCTGAGGACCAGGTCAGAGTGCAGCCTCCTCTTGCTCTCCTGTGATTGACCCATGAGGACCCTTATGTCTCACTCTCTCAAGCTTCGCTGAATCTCAAAGGAGAGACAGTGCAATGGATCTGGTCCATTACACCACATCTAAGGCTACATTGAAAAGATCTATTGAAAATGTTAAAAGCGGCATTCTGCAGCACTATACTAGAATCGTCACATTCTTCCCACCTCATTCATCCAGGCACTTTTCTGTTTGGATACAGTCAGTTATTCATCACCCTTTAAGGATCACCTACGTTGTTCTAGTGCCCCGCAAGGAAGGCTGAGCAGAAGTTACGCACATGATTAAGCCCTGCAGGAATCAAGTCAAGCGCTTCGTTCCGCAGGCGCTCTGCAAACAGTGCAAAAGGTATCACTTCTGTGCCCACTGCCCT